TTAAATTCATTAATGAATATCCACAGAAAAAAGAACAATTATTAAGGCCAAGGAAACAAGAAGCTTAGCAAATGCCTTGAGGACTTCATAAATGGCAACATTGAATATACATGTTCAAAACTAAAGCAAGAAAGATAAACCTGAAGCCTGATCACAATTAAGAAACGGAATATAAGCAGGTATGTAAATGGGTAAATTTTAACATTAGGGAAAACAGCATGTGAAATTGTCATGCTCATCCCCTGTCTGTATGACTCTCATAAAAAGTATGAGAAGAAGAAATCATGAACAGAAAAGTGATTAGAGTAAGTGTAGGAAGCACCACTGTAAGTCAATTCATATGAGCAGCTATAGCTAAAAGATTACTAAGTGGCATAATGAAAATCTCTAGTCCAAGAAGTTAGTTCCAACAGTCCTGTTTTAGCTATGCCTCTAAAATGTCAAAAGTCAGTTGAGACCTATGGATAAGGAATCTTTCGGGATAGTTTTCAAAAAACTGCTGGGGGGAAGTTTCTCAAAAAACAACAACAACAAAAAAACCCCATGAAGCCCAAGCATCTACCAGCTTGAGCTAGAACTGGGGGGCAGATCAGGCCAGGCCAGGCTACAGCACCCACTGGCAAACACCAAGGTGAGACGGGTCATGTTTGACTGGATCCAGCACCCATCATCATACACAAGGTGGCAAGTACTGTGACTAGGGACAAGTCTTATCACGTTACAATGTAGAACCATCTGGAGAGTGCAACATCTAGATACTGGGCTCAGCAGCAAAACTGAGGCCATCCCTTTAATGGCCTGTAACTCCCACCAGTTAACATGAGAACCAGGACTGGGGACAGGCCTGGCAACACAGGAAGAGGCATACAGTGTCATGAGTGTGGGCTGGAGGGTGGTTTCGGATGGAATGAATTAGGAATTGGACATCTATACGAGAGCTGAGAGAGCTGGGAGGTGAGACACAGGACCAGTCCACTGCACATGCTGGCACACAGAAACCAGGACAAGAGTCAGCCAAGTGCAGGTTATTAGGGTCGCTCTGACTGGGCTGCAGCTCCCAATGGTGTATGTGAGTGCCCACTGTGTGGAGGGCAGGGTTGGGCTGGGCCGCAGTATCCACTGTATAATAAATAGGGTTAGACACAGATGTGACCTAGCAATTGCCATTACCAGTGTGGAAGTAGGCTGATGTGGGTGACAGAATGAACTGGGCCCTATACAGGCAGGAGCACATGCAAGAGATAAGTCTAAGATCACCTCAAACGAAATTTCTTTAAGGGTCCCCCCAGTTAAGCCACTGGACTCATAATTCCAACCATGGGGAGAGTGGCAGGAACTTTGATCTGACAACAGAATGCGTGTGTCAAAACGGCCTCCTTAGTGGCTTTGATGGAGCAGTGGATGGCATATCCAGAAGCACATGGAGGATATGTCAGACCATCGAAGCCTGCAGAGGACACCTGGTATCATAGCAGAGGAAGAAGGGCAGGACAAATTGGTCAACAAGTCCAGCCAAGCATGACGGCAAATATCTGAACAGACTCTGAGGTGGACTGTGTCAGCCAATGGACCTTGGAAGGATTTCCTCATCCTTACATTTGCAAGACTGACAACATTTCAGAAATACCAAAACCACTTGAGCAGAACTCCTGGAGCATGTTCCACATTGGGGATTTTGGGGTGGCATCGAGCAGCTGTTCCCCATCCCCAGGTACTGAGGCGATTTGGAGGCGGGGTGTGGCTTCTCCCCTCATCTCTCCCCTTCCCCCAGATACGGGTAGAAGGTAAGGAAAACGTGAAAACAAGTGTCTCTGCCACTTTTCCCTCACCCTGGATCCTTCCAATCCTATACAACTATGTAGAAATCATCAAAAATAAAATTAAAAAAGAAAAAACATGAATCCCAGAAAATAAAAGAAAAAGAAACAACAAGGCAAATAAGAAATAGAAGGCAAAAGTCAGCAGGCTTTAGATAAAAATATCTTTGTATTATGCACAAAGAAATAACAGGAAGTTCTCAAAATATTAATAAAACTCGAGGGTTATTTTTTTAAACAATCAAAATGAAAATGTCATTCTGAGTAACTTTTAAAGTTCAATATGTAAATTGCTATTGTTAAAAACAGGAAAACTAAGTTTTGGATGCTAAAACATAGTGTGCTTCTGAAGTCAGTGTTGTCATGAGCAGAGAGATCTGTTGGTCTAGAAATATTCTAAATCTTGATTCAAGAGGGAAGTACTAAACTGTGAAAAGAGTATCAGTACACTCAGCACAAGGGTGGAAAATGTGGCAATGACCAAACCCGGCCATCCACCAGATTTTGTAAAGTTGTACCGAACACAGGTGGATTCATTAACAAATAGTATTTGCCTGTACCTATACAACAAAGCATACTCACATACACTCATAATAGAAACCACAGAGCTTACAAAACAATATTTTTACTCTTTGGCCCTTTTTTGAAAATGGTTTCCAACACCTGTACATAATTCCAATTATGAGGGAGCTTTAAGAAGTTGTTGGAAAAATGAAAATTAAAGACACATCTATTTATAGTGAAAAAAATCATCTAAGCCACAATTTTATCACAAAAGACTTTTTTCAGAAGCTTTTATATATACCAAATCAAAACAATTATAAGTTTTTAAAACTAAAACAATCAAGATATATTCGAAAACAATAATAGTCTGATTTGGAGGACTAAACTGGACTTTATTAGAAAGTGTTCAGGAGGGTGAACATACTCATTTATCATATAAATTAATGAATTCCACATGTTCTTAACATTTCTAAGACTGCAGCTTACTTTGTGAAAGAGATGCTAATGATAGTAAGGGAACAATTACTAACATAATACAAAGTAATATTAAAGGCTATATTATGAAGAAAGTAGAAAGGACAACCAGTAGGATTGTAAAAATACTTGAAATCATACATTCGGTAAATTTTTACTCTCTACACTATAAAAATCTCTTAGGACTCAATAGAAGACAACAATAAATCCAAGGAGAAATTAGGCCAATGATTAAAACAGCACAAGAAAATAGTAAAAATGGAATATATATATATATATATATATATGGCAACCAAGAAAATGAAAATATGCTCAAAATCATTAGCCAGTACAGAAATACAAGTCAGAACCACCACCAGCTATTACTGCACTCCTACTAAGATGTGCAGAATCAACCAACCACATGGACAAGAGACCAGACAACTTATACCAAAAATGAGCAGAAATCAAACTTCTCCTTTATGAAGGATTATGAAATAATGCAGATACTCTGGACAACAATCCAGTAACTCCCAACTAACTAAACTTTTCTACTACTTGGAATATAACTAGTAGAAATTATACCATGTCTACACAAACCCTATAAGCCAAAAAAACCTACAAGCCAAAATGTAGAAATAATCCTATGCTCAACTGATAAATATATAAATATGGCATATTCATAAATGGAATATTATCTACTCATAAAAAAGAATGAAGACTGCTATAAAGTGCCACATGATTCAACCTTAATGTATTATAATATATGAAAGAAACCTTAGTCACAAAAGACCATATATTTCATGACTCCAATTACATGCAACATCTAAAAAGGCAAAATTCTAGGATTAGTGGTTGCCAGGGGATAGGAAGAAAGTGAATGGGGAGTTACACCAAAGAGTGTAGCGTTTCTTTCCTTTTTTTTCCTGAAAGGGACCTTTTTTTGAAAACCTATTGGGCAAAAGTTGCACCAAATTGCAAATGTAGTAAAGTCACTTAGCTTTGCAATTTAAACATTTCACATGATGTGAATGATGTCTGGAAAGAAAGAGTTATATGAATATGTGTGTGTTTGAAAAACAAAGGTAAAACTAAGTCTTATTTTACCAAAAATTATACCAGAGTTTGAAAATATGCAGGAACTATTGCATTTCACAATGTGCTTTATAAGGCTGACATACCCTTGATATGCTATACATTATATATTGTAACAATATAAGAATGTCCAATAACCAAAAGGAAGTAGCAAAGAATGAGTACGTCAAACACAGCAGAGAACAGTTCTTTGCATCAAGACATTCATCACAAAAAGCTCAGAGACCTTCTTTCAGTCTTGGAATCTATGCTTTTATAAAAGTGATATTCATATTATTACGGAATATTAATATTCACCAGTAAAATCATGCTTATTTCTGATAAAAAAATCTGAATGAAAATTTCAGTACAGATAAAACAAGAGAGAAATCAACAATAACAGCTGAGTAAGATACTGCATAGGCTTTCTGTATACTTTGCAACGACAGTACCAGCATATGTGATGATCTGAATGATAACAGGACTCACATGCTTACATCCTATTAATATGAACAAGGTGTTGACCTGTTTAGCACTGTCAGAAATTTGAGCCATGTTATTAAAATATAGATTCATATTGTTTACTTTGTGACTTGAAACTTTTCCAAGTTCACATATTGTTTGAAATGAGTATGTCAAAGTTCAAAAGAGTACGAATTGATAACTAAAAACACTGCAATAGAAGATATGAAGTATTTACTGGAGAAGGATCCATAGCTTCAACAATTATTTTTAGAAGCACATTAGAAATCTAGGATCATGGTTGATGTAAATAATATTTCAATTAAAATATGTCCATTCAATGTCAAATGCATTAAACAAGATTAACAATTTTTGTTAGTTCATCCTAATGAAAATAGCAAACGCCAAATTTCTTCTTAAGAAAATTTTTCCAAGTTTGCAAAACTATTTATTGCATATGGTCTCTCACAGATAACTTATATTTTCACATATGATCATAAATAATCATAATATATTATTATATTATTAGGAATAAATGAACAATATATGATTAGGAATAAATGCATTAAATCACTATTTTGTCATAAGAAACAACAGGCATCCTGGTGTACATACACACTGCTATGGTTAAAAAAAGCTAAAAATATCAGTATAAATTAATAAATGTATGAAGAATTTTTTTAAATGTACCTTCTTCAAGAATGGGTCGTGGGATGACAAACGGTATCTCTTGCAAAGGCTCCATGTACTTGTGGCCAGCACTAATAATCCTAATTTGAGGCAGGCAGAAAACAAGTGTTCCTGGCATGCTGGTTTGTCCATGGTACCAACTTCTTACTGTTCCAGGAATATCACCAGAAACGATTGTACTTGGGGAAGGCAGACTATCATTAGGAATGAATATACACCAAGACTGTACTTCAAGCTGGAAAAGTAGAAATAAATATTTGGGTCAGCCTAAACACACTTCAAACTTATAATATAGTATCTTTACCAGAATAAACAGGCAAGCAAAAAACAAAACAAAAACAAAAAGTAAGGTCCTTAATGTAAGTATTGTAAACACTCGTTTTCTAAGGAATACAACCAACACTTGAAAAGGCATTGCTTTCCTGCTGTAAACTTGATCAGAGCCTGTGTGATTTAATGAAAATATATCTGCCCTCCCAGAGTTCTTTTCAAGAAACAAGTTTTATGTATAAAACTTGCTGACAAAAATAAAAAGTAAAATGATAGGAAAGTACTCAGTTTATTTTCAAGGTTCATTAAATATTTTTAACACTTAGAACTGATGAGTATCTCACTGCTTTTCTTTTTTAAAAAGGAAGAGGGATGGAGAGCAAGCTATTTTTAATGTGAACCTGCTTTTTTCATTTTTAACTTTAAAAACCAAAAAATAAGAAAAAGATGCTGAAAACATTCAGTTTACAGCACTGCATAACCATTAAAGAACAAGTTTTAAATGACATGTTTTTAATACCCATACAGAATGACTCAAATATGTGTGAATAAACAGATACATAGCAGTAAGATAAATCAGAAGACTTAAAAATCACAAAATTATTTTTTACTTTTAATTATTAATCACCCAAACTATAATTTCACATGAAATTTTATGTTCCCTTTTACCCCTACTATTACTTAACTTGCCAGAATCTTAGAAGGGTAAGACTAAGTTAAATCCAAACCAAATACTGAGTTCATTTACTTCTTAAATCACAAGCAATGTGGACTAAAATCTGCCAGTCTTACTTGGTTCTCACAAATATTTGTTATTAATTTGTCCAAAGTAGCAAACTTGGTTTGTAAAAACAAACAGAAACTAGTACCTGTTTAATTTTTATGACCTATTTGTCACATAAAGATATTATTCTGAAGCTGTGATAAAAGTGAAAAATTCTCATTTTGTAAATGTTTTCACATACAAGGAAACTATATTATCAAAAAAATTTAGTGAGTACTTTAGAAAGTATAGCTTAAAGTAAGTCAAATACCTTTTCATGGAGGAATTATACTTCTTGGTAAGAAAAGACACCATGTAACTGGTTTGAATTCTTACATCTCATGAGACAAATGAAACCTCACCACCCAATAGGTAAACAAAATGAACGGTTTTTATTTCACATTTCTGGGCATAGACAGATTATAACTAATTCAGTGAAGAAACAGATAAGTAAAATTTTGCCTAAATAAATTCGCTGGTTAAACACATACAAGCTTATATTTTTAGCTGTAGATTTTTTTTGTAGGTTAGATAAAATTAAAGTCTGTGTTTAAATAGTTGAGAGATCTAAGACCAAAGTCTATATTTTCAAGTCTATATTGCCTTTGATACAATCACAACTTTAAATATTTTAATGTATTTCATTCATAGTCTAACTGGACAATTTAAGATGAAATATTCGGAGCATATTTCTCCATTAATTCAGGCTAAAACATCACATGATAATGAGACAATATTTCATATTTCATGTATGCACTGACATTAGCCTGAAAAATGCTTTAACATGGGAGATATTTACTAGAATATGTCACCACACAAAAACAAAACTATGTCCTTAGAAATCAATTTAAATGATAAAATTTATAATTAAATGCCAGAATTATAAAATTTGATTCCACTAATACAAGTCAGTTTTTTCATCTAATTTAAACATTCTGAGCAATACACACACAATCAATATTAGCATGACATGAATAACATCCAAATATGCACTTTCTAAAATATGTTATGTTGAGAATGCCTTTCATGATAAGAATTAAAACATACACATGATCCAGTGTGTTGAAAAATATTATGTTACATCTATTGTATACATTAAAGCAATCACATAAATCTTTTTACACTTTTTAAATAACTGTTAAAATGTATTTCTAAAATTGTGCTTTCAATGTAAAATGTTGAATGATTTATATTCCTGAATATAAATCTGCAGCAATAAATTTTACATTAATGTAAGGATCTGACAATCCAAGGGAAAGAAAATGAAGTAATCTGCCAGTAAGAAGTCCTCAAGTCGGGGGTCAGATCCTGTTCATGGAAACCATCTGGTTGGGACCCTCTGAGCCACCAAACACAAATGATCTTTAAAAAAATATCCTATTCATTAATGCATTACAGCTGCAGTGAGCGTTACTTCATTTTTCCATGGCAACATCATCTCTGTTTCAAGGATCTTGTTTCAGTTTTGGTAGCAACGTGTTCTCTCACCAATACTGAACACATTCATGTGTTAAAGTGAAGGGATTATTACAAATTCTTGAAGTAGAACCACCTCAATTTTGATTCCCTCTTGGCCAATGGTACTTCTACAGCATACCAAAGATAAACCATGAAGTAAAACTATTCGGTGTTCTTATTTTAATAAACAAACAACTGTGATATGTTTTTCTGAAGTTTCAACTTTATATGGAAGTAGAATACACACACACACACACACACACACACCATTCTGCACTCCCCAAACCACCTGAAGTGTTTGGAAGGCAGACTGCTGTTACTAAAGGGTTGCTTCATTGTGACAATAATTCAGTTACAAAGAAACAAAGGCAGGTTGCATTTACACATTAGTCCAAAATTATTTATCAGCCACTGCCCATCTGAAAAGCACTTTATACATAAATTCTGTCGAACATTGTTAGCATGTGTTTTTCCTACCTTTTAAAACAATTCCATTTCCTTTACCAGAGTAGCATATTTCCTTACTTAAATTTGAAACTTCTGTGACAATTTTATTTTGCAAAACTACAGAATGAAATGCTCTATATGTGAATGTTATTCTTTAGTAAACAATGCCAAAACAAAAGCAAATAAATACTATAAGTGTATTTCATAATTTTTTCTTTCATTCATGTGTTTCTTAATATTTACCAAGAACTCTGCAGGAATTCTGGAGCATAGACTTAAAGTTCTAGCTCTTACAAAGCATAAATATTTTTCAGTATTAAAACCCTTAAAGCTTTCTCCCCAGAATGTAAGCTCAGACAAATGAAACACTTTGCCTACTTTATTCACTCTGTACTGTCAGTGCATGAAATAGTGTCTAACTGGCATGCATTAGGTATTTCATAAATGATTGCTAAGAAAGTAAATACAACTAGTTTTATTAGCATAACATACAGATACTCATAAAAAATGAATTCTAGACCTGTTGTACATTCTAGAGCAGCCTATGAGGAAAATTAGTAAAGCTGAATTGTTAGAAAGGTTCAACTCCAGGTGTGGGAAACTGACAATTATTTAATCTTTTAATGGACTGTTTCCTCATCTGTAAGTAGAGTAAAATAATCAAAGTATGAAGATATCTCATAGAATATGGGCCACCTAAAGATTTGCTAAGTCAGTCAATAACAAATACTAGGCATTTACTGCTTGTCACAGCCAATATATTAGCTTCCAAATATTCACAAAGATAGTCAATAGTGCATTTTTAATGCAGTTGTTATGGTTTAATTGTCCAAAATACAGGAACCATAAAACACAGCACCTCCTTTGCACTAAAGCAAAACAAACTATTTCCCTAATAACTATATTCCTAGTTTATAAATTCTTAACATATCATGGAAATATTTTCAATATCTTCATATGTAGGAATCTATGGATATAACAAGTTAAAAACTTCAGAAATGAACGTTGGCTGTTTTCTTTTCCAGACAGAGGGCTATAAATCTCATTTTCTCCATGAAAATTTAAGACCTGAAAAAAAATTCCTAAGTATGAATTCCATATTGTTTCCTGCTACCAAACTACTGTGTAATGGCTATCACTTGTTCAATACTTACAAACAACAATGTTGGCATATGTGCACAATTTGTAAGCATTAAGTAAAACAACTTAATGTTATAATTAAGATGACTGGCAGTTGGTCCTTTTGTCCTGACAGATCTAGGCATATATCCCAAAAGATAAGCAAGAAAGTTCACTGAGTATCAGGACATCAAGTAATATGATGTAATTTCCTAGAAAATTCTGTTGGCCTTGCTCAGTCAACGTATGATGTTTTAGACACCTAATTGACACTTATCAAAATCACCAAGAATGTGGGAAGCAGTTCCCCTTATAGGAATAACAAATCAGTATTAGCAAAGGCAGGACACCTAGCCGGTTGGAAGAAAATTTAAAAATCCATTAGACTATAACATCCATTCAGAAAACTTCAGAATACCAAAAACACAGCAACAAGCCGAACAAATAATACAGAAAATGTCATAGTATAAAAGAGGGGAAGACAAATAAAAACAAACAATAAAAAAATACTTACTACTTACTGAATTCTAGTCCTGAGTATTTTTCTTTATCAACTGCAAGCTACTATCAGCTATGGGCTTATATAAAAACATTAAATGTTTTTAAAATATGACGTTCTGAAGTATTACAGAATGAAAAACATTGCAAATACAAGTGAGTCATAATGACCTGCTATTAAAAGGTCCATATATTAAAACACTTCTCAAGACCGCATGCAGTGTTATGGAATAACCAGTTTAACGAAACACGAAAACTCCTTTTTCTTACTAAAAAATCCATTATCAAAAATATTTTGGATCACAAAACATCTTGGAAAATAGACACTGCTTTTTCCCACTTTAGAATTTAATTAATAAGAATTTGGCATTATTTAGAAATTTTTCAAAATACATTAACCTTGGGAAGTGTTTAAATATACAAAACATTTGACACAAAGCTTGGACCATGGTAAAACAAGTACAATACCGAGGGCATAATTAAAATAATCACACAGAATAAATACTTATCATTTAGTATTCCTGCAATTATATGAACAGTTCCATTCCACATGCTTACTCAAACTAAGCAACAAACAGTATATTTACAAATGATGAGAAAGGTTAACTTTGTTATATGATTTTAACGGAAGAGAGTATCACCATCTCTATTTTGTTTTTTTGTTTTTAATTTTTTTAATTTTATTTTTGACAATCTTTACATAGTTAATTGGGGTAAAAAGGTTCAAGGGTTATAGGAAAGTGGGTAAGACTAGTATTTCCATATTGTTTCCTTCATGTTTAAAGGGGGGTATTAAGGGAGAAGGCCCATTCAATTTCCCACCCTCCTCATGTCCCGCATGTAGGGTATGCTTCAAGGTTCTTTCTCAAGTGGTTTTGATAGTTCACCAGTTATAAATTGCTGCCAATCTTGCCACTCCAAGCAGTATGAGGTCTTTGAAGAATCCACCGACTGACATAGTCCATCATAGAGTCTCTATTTGTCCTGTATTTCGCTGACCATCTCTATTTTGAACTAACTGATTACACATAAAAAATTTTGCATGACCCATTCCCCTGGTTTTAACCACTTGAAGATGGCTTTTAATATTATAAATCTAATCTGAATCTTTCCTAAAACTCCAGATATAAATATATTACTATCAATCAGATATCTGATTCTTACAAGTATTTCAAATACAATGTGTAAACAGAATCCTCTATTTGTTTCTAGACTGAAAAGCTGCTTCTCCCTTTATTAAATGGTATTGCTTACCAACTCAAAATTAAAAACAAGAAGACCACTTAGACAAATGCTGTTGGCTCATTTCCACAAATCAACTAGTTACAATGCCACTGATCTTACCTCAGTCATTGAAGGATCAATGTCCAATTTCTATCCATCGCTCCACTCCCCAGCTGGCTTGCAATAGTCAGAGTTGAGTCAGGCCAAAAGCAGGAGCCAGGAGGTTCTTTTAGATCTCCCACATGAGTGGCAGATGCCCAAGGCATCCTCCACTACTTTTCCTAGACTATTGGCAGAGAACTGCATTGTAAGTGGAGCATCCAGAATAGGAACCAGTGCCCATTTGTGTTGTCAGATGGTTGCTTTACCTGCTATACCACAAAGCCAGTCCTCACAGAATTTATATTAACATTTTTATTTTCCTTTTGGGGTCATATAAGTTTCTAAGATATCCAAGAGGGGTTCTACACTCTTCCAGATATTTTATATGACAGACTTGGCTTTATCCATACTAGAGCATAAGAACTGTTATATTTCCCTTGGCTCCCAAGCTCTACTTCTGATTCAGCTCCCTGACAATGGCCTGTGGATGCAGTTGATGATGTCCCAAGTCCTTGGATCCCTTTATCCATGTAAAAGACCCAGAAGAAGCTCCTGGCTCCTAGCTTCTGACTGGCCTCCATTTGGGGAGTAAATCAGCAAATGGGAGAGCTGTCTCTCATTTTCAGGCATTTGTGTTGCCAGAACAGTTGTTTTCAACTCTCCCCAGGGTGCAGAGGCATTTGGAAGGTTGGGTGTGGCTTCTCTCCCTAACTCCCCACTTCCCCCAGATACAAGAAGTAAAAAAAGAGAATGTGGAAATGATGATTTCACCCACCTTCCTGTAGCCCTTGAACCTTATCTTCCTAATCAACAATGTAAAATCATCAAAACATAACAGTAATTAATGGAAAAAAATTTAAGCAAATTGCCCACTTGTATTTTTAACTAGAGATCCTTCTGAGGACTTCTTCACATTTGTAGGACCAAGAACTAATCAAAACACAGGATAAACGAGGGAAGCTGCAAACACCTCTGAGTAACTAATTGAATCCTACTTACACACACAAAAATTATTTCATCAAAGCCTGAAATTCCACCCAAGTCTACCAAACGGGGGAGCAGGGGCCCAAGGTACTTCACCCACCTTTCACTGTTTTGCATTAGAAGTAGAACTGCTAGCACTAGAGCCAGCACTCTCACTCCCTCACAAACAGCAACATAAACTGCTGCCACAATGCCTTGTTCTTCACCTCCACTTCCAATTCAAGCTTCCTGCTATAGCATCCCCTGGGAAGCAGCAGGTGATGGTTCAACTGGATTGGTCCCAGCCAGAACACAAGGAGATTCAGACTGATTTCTGGGATCCAAATTCAATTTTACTCAGCTGCAGCTATTGGAGCTTTTGAGGAGTGAATTAATAAAGGAAGACTGACTCTGTCTCATTTCCCTGTCTGCCTTTCAAAGAGTCTGCTTTTTTTCCAAAAGAAGCATCTCAAAATATGCACTCTTATAATTTTATCATTTATGAGTTTCAGATAATACTGTTCATCATAAATAAAATGCATCAATTGTCTTCAACTAAATCATGAAAATTACATAGCATAAAGAAAGTTTGATCAATATTTCATCAACACTAGTCAATATTTTATCAAGTTTTAATGATGCTGAAAATGAAAATGAAATTTAAGAATCAGAGCCATAATAACTAATTTTTATTATACCTGTAATGTGAGTCTCTTCACTGCATTCCATACTATTCCAATAAATTCTTTCATTCTTTCTTCTGGACTTCTAGACCCTCCAGAGACATTCAGCATGGCTTTCACCGGAACAGACAGTGGTCGGGATTCTAAGCATAAAATAGTTACTTAGCAGAAATATACTTTGTATTCTCAAGTCTTTATTTCATTGCTTAAAATTGTAACTTTTCATAAGATTATGAAATTTCATAGTACACTTTTATCCAACAGACTTATGAGAATAGAACTTGGCATTTTAAAAAATCAATGTTTCTTTTATTTATCTGTGGGCAGAGTTACAGACAGAGTAGAAGAGACAGAGAGAACTTGCATCCAGTGTTTCCCTCCCTATGGTCACCAGGGCTAGGGTAGCACAGGTTGAAGGCAGGAGACAGAACACTATCCAGACTGATCACGTGGGTGGCAGGGACCCAAGTCCTTTAGCCATCTCTTACTGTTTTTCCAGCCACAGAAGCAGGGAGCAGGACTGGAAGTAGAGCAGCAGGGACTTCAACTGGCATTCATATGGGATATCAATACAGGTGGTAGATAAATCTGCCAAACCTGCTTCGTATTTATTACATTTGTCAAGGATTGCTGACTGGGAGTTAGAATTGTGCAGAATCATACTTTTACCAAAGATCATGATTCCTTGAGTTGTTTGGAAACATCTAATTTGTTCATCTACATTTAACATGGTAATTTGATTTAAGCCTATTTATTATACTTATTATCTTAAGCATTAAATAAAATGTGTTTGAAATCTAAATTGAATTTGTTAAAATAATATTGGTGGGCAAGTGTTTAGTCTACTAGTGCAGACACCCAAATTCCACTTTGGAGTGCCTGGATCCCCAGCTCTGGCATCATACTTCAAGCCTTCTATCACTAGGCAACAGGGTGATGATGGCCTAAGAAATGGGGTGCCTGCTACCCAAATGGAGAACATGGGCTGGATCCTCAGCTCTGGACTTCAGCCCTCGTTGTGGGAATCTGGGGAGCAAACCAGGAGATAGGAGCGCTCTTTCTGTCTGCCTGCCTTTCTCTGGATTGCTTTCTCTCTCCCCCTGACAGCCTCTCAAATAAATACAATTTTTAAAAAATGCATCGATAAGTACTTCTTAGGAAAGCACCATCCATCTTTGTGTAACATTAGTCCCCATCTGTGTTAAGAAAAAAGTAACACACTTGGAACCACCTGAGTTAATGTTTTAGCTGTGCCACTTGCTGGATGACTTTGGAAAACTAATTTCACATTTTTTTTTCCTCATTTGTTAAAAAATGCTAATGCCAATGCCTAATATCAAAGAGTAAAGAGTACTATTCAGCTTAAATGCTATAGGAGTTTATGAAAATACCATGACAATAAAAATAATTAAGTAATGATTGCATATAGACGAGAACTTAAAAGATTAACAATTCATAAGGATGCTTTTCTTTCAGCTAACTTAACTGTCATTTACTCTGAGAAGTGGTTACTGACTTCCCAAAATTATCTTTCCTTTAAAATCTCTTGGAATTATAATACAATGCTGAAGGATACACTGCTTAATTTTACTGATGTAATTTTAAGTCTTGAACGTTTGCCTCTCCTAAAGAAGTAATTTGGTACAGTGATAAGGCAAAGCCAGTCCACTCTAGTCGTTAACAGCTGCACATTGAAGCCACATCTGGGTTATGTTCCCTACCACTCTCACTCTCCCACAGAGAGATAATCTTTACATACACATTAATCTATTACCAATGATGAAATTATCATAAAAGGATCAAGTTATACATAGTAATCCCTAAAATCACAGGATGGTATTTTTTGGTTCAATATTTCAATATTTATATCACGACATTACCTTTTTCGGGCTAAACTAGAACCTGGTAACAATTATCCAAATTCAGTATGTCAAAAATACCTGTTCTTATTTTGAAGGTCTGAATAATGATGGTAAATGGCAGGTCGAAACAACTGATAATATGTTTAAGCCAATGGCACCAAATTCTGATATTCAATATCAAGTGGATCATGTCTTTCAAGTTTAAATATCACAATATCAGTTACTTCATAATATCAAAGAGTCAAAAAAGACTTGGCTTTAAAGGCTTAAAATAAAGACAAACAAAAAACTCTATAGTGTTAGAATTTCAAACATCAATTATACTAATTTAAGTTTTTGCAAAAAATACACTATGGAGACTCAGGAAATCTGAGTCCCTTTCAAAACATGTGATTTTCAAATTCAAACGCAGAAACTGAAAAGGTAACTAAAACATAAATTTATTCTGCTGAAAAAAAATCTGAAATCCTTGCATGGGCAGTAGTTCTTCCAAAAGTTCATGGGAACTTTGCTGCAATGCATAGATACCGAAGTATCTGGAATCTATCCTTCAAGTTTTTTTTAAGAGATTATTGCCCCAATCCAATGAAATCTTTACAATCCTTTCATCCTAGTCTCAGCTATTCAACAACGACATAAAAAAAAAGTTTGATCTTACATAAATATCTCATTGTGTACAGTGCAACAGGCAACATGTCACCCACCAGCCATAGCAGCAAAGAATAGACAATGGGCTACAGTGTTTCCATATAGTGCCATGAGACACTGGAGAAGCATCAAAAAAAAGCTTAGCTTGGAGGAAGCAGCTTTTTATTCATACAGCTGTATCTATTACTAGTCTGGCATTATTATCCTATATTTTACAAACAACAAAGGACCCTGAAAATAGTATAAATATTTGAAGATAACCTTCCAACTCTTTCTCTTTCTGCAGTTAATCATTACCTGTGCTTTAATGGGGTTTAAGAGAAATCAAAGTTGAGTTACCCTGGAGGTGATAAAAACACAAAGTCTTGAGAAAACCTTGGGTAAATCGCACATGGGAGCATAGGTTAGAATCTTGGCTGCCATATTCCTAATCCATTTATCTGCTAAAGTGCCTGGGAAGGAAACACAAGATGGCCCAAGCACTTGGGTCTCCACCACCTACATGGCAGAGCAGTTTAGAATTCCTGACTCCTGTCTTTAGCCTGGCCCAGGACTGGCTGAGCAGATGTTTGGGGAGTGAACTACTGGATGGATCTCTGGCTCTCTCATTTTCTCTCTCTCTCCCTCTCTTCCTGCCTCACTCTTTCTCTACACACTGCCACTCAACACTTACCACCAATCAATGAACTGATAACTAATAAAGCATTGTTCTAATAAAGCTCATTCTTAGGGTTCTAAGATAACTGGAAATTTTTAGGAATACAAGTACAGTAAATAATTTGAATCTTAGTTGTTTTTTTTTTTAATAATAGATGTGTTTACTTTGAAAGGCAGAATAACAGAGAAGCAAGGAGAGAAAATCTGCTGATCTAAATTGAACTCAGTCTGGTCTAGGTGGAAGTCAGAAGCCACCTCAGAAACGTCTTCAGAATCTCGCATCAGGGGAATAGGGCTCCAAGCACTTGGTCGTCTTCTACTGTTCTCCAAGGCATGTCAACAAGTTTGATCAGAAACTGAGCAGCTAGGACCCAAACCACTCTGTGATCTGGGATCACCTTAACAGCACCTTAATGCACTGTGCCAGAACACCAACCTCTGTTATTTTTATTTAATTTGCATTGATTGTATTGGAAAGGAGTGGGAGGTGAGAGTGAGAGAGGAATGCATCAATAAATGAATACGAATGAGTTAGGCAACTACTAAGCACTGGTTCACTCTGCATATGCTCATGAGCCCAAACCGTTTAGGTCTGTTAGGAAGGCTGCAAGAAGCCCAGTAATTCAGTCCTCACCAGCTGCCTCTCAGGAGGCACCAGAGCAGGACAAGGGATTGGAAGTAGAGAAGCCAGGACTCAAACCGGGTTCTCCCAAATGGGATGCAGGCATCTCAGTGTCCCCGGACTGGAGTTCCAGAATTTACATCAACACAAGGGTTATTTATTAGAAGAGAAGATGAATGAAACAGACTAAATAGGAACTGTTTTTGCTAATACCCCCAATTCTTCTCATTTTTTTGATTATAAAGAAAATTTAGTTTGAATTTAATGTGATCATATTACAGCCTATGGGCTTAAAAAAAACAACTCTGTGAATGTGTTTAATTGATCTGTGTTCCACGTTTCTTTGTTTTCTCTTTAAATGGAGAAATAAAAAAATTAGTTCTGATCCTTTGCTAGTATGTGGGATCCCACGTGGCAAAAAGAAGTCTCTACCTAGAAATTGCATTTTATTTGATTTAATTTCACCTATGCAGCTGAGGCCATCTTAAGTATCCAGTAACCACGTGATTACTGACTGTACCACTTAACTTTCATTTCATCAAGCACTTAGAAACCAATAGAGATCCTCACTTTTTAAAAAGATTAATTTATTTTTATTGGAAGGTAAGATATACAGAGAAAAGGAGAGAGAGAGGAAGATCTTCCATCCCCAAACAGCCAGTATAGCCTGAGCTGAGCCAATCCTAAGTCAGGAGCAAACAACTTCTTCCAGGTCTCCCACACAGGTGCAGGGTCCTAAGGCTTTGGGCTGTCCTCAACTGCTTTCCCAGGCCACAAGCAGGGAGCTGGATGGGAAGTGGGGCTGCCGGGATTAGAACCAGCACCCATATGGAATCCTGGCACATGTAAGGTGAGGACTTCAACTATCTGGCCTGAGATACCTATGACTAGAGGTGGCTCAAGTATTCCACTGTTAACTGCTAAGAAAGGAGATGACGACACAGAATCCAGGCAGGAGTCAAACTCCCATCTTAGGATCGCTCTGCTGAAAACTAGACACAGTCTAGGACTCACAGACCTTGCATCACTTCTCTAACCCAGCAGAAATGACAATCAGGTAAACTAAGTGTGTAACTACTACAAGAAATAGAGTTTATACATCTGATTTACAAGGTCTGAGAACTGGCCTTGATACACATATGCTTCTATTATTACAGAGTCAGACTGCCACATAATTTAAGTGATCTTCAAATGCCACATTAAACTCACTCCCCAACTTGCTCCTGCCCCAGGCTTGGGCCCCTAACTCAGCTAACAAACCTCAGTATAATTCCTGCATATTCTTTATCACCCCTTTACATCAGCAACTCAAGGAAGCCCACAATTCTGAGAACACCCCTAATCCCTCACACTC